CTGTGCCATACACAGGGAGACTGCAGGGGGGGCTCACAGCCCGAAGAACCATCATCATCAAGGGCTTCATACCCCTCTACGGCAAGAGGTATGCGATGGAGGTTGAGGTGGGAACTTTCGGGGCCCCCTCCCCAGACCCAGGGTCTGGACGCTCGGCCTCTTCCCTTGGGGAACCAGAAGCTGGACCCCCACCTGACTCCCACCTTCCTCCCTGCCCCTAGCTTTGTCATCAACTTCAAGGTGGGGTGCACCGGAGACCTGGCTCTGCACTTTAACCCCCGCCTGAGTGAGGGCACCCTGACTCGGAACAGCTACCTGAGAGGCTCGTGGGGATCAGAGGAGAGAAGCAGCAGCACCTTCAACCCGTTTCGGCCCGGACAATACTTCGACGCGTGAGTAGGGGTCCTCCCCCCACCCCCACCCCCGAAGCCCCTCCCCGGGCCTGGCCTCACACCACCCTCTCCCGGCAGCTGTCCATCCGCTGCGGCCTGGATCGCTTCAAGCTCTACGCCAACGGCCACCACCTCTTTGACTTCGCCCACCGGCTGACAGCCTTCCACACGGTGGACACCTTGGAGGTCCTGGGCGACGTCACCTTGTCCTACGTCCAGATCTGACCCCCGGGGTCCTGATGCATGGGGGGGTGGGCATCCTGCTGACGCCCTTGGAGCCCTAATAAAGTGTCTCGCTGCCTCATTCACATGTGCGTGGCCCCACCCCTCCCTCTTGCTTCCTCCGTGGAGCTTCCCGGAGACGTGGGGACACAGCTGCACGGGCAGGGGCAGGTTCACGGAGACAGCAGATTCCAGAAGTTCAGAAGTAGCCACGGGGACTCAGACCCTGGTGGGCAAGGCTGTCTCGGGGGCACTCCTTAGATGGTAAGAAATTGGGGTCAGCTGACCCCAGAGGGCCACCCAGCCTTTACCACGGGGCCTGGGCATCGCCTGACCACTGGACACCACCACCCACTCATCCCAGTGCCCGCTAGGAGGCCAGCGGGTGGCGACTACATATGGCCGGTGTCCTGCAGAAGCAGGGGTGTGGGGGGAAGTAAGCGAGGGAGACAGGAGAGACAGAGGGGTCAGTCCCAGGGAGTTTTCTCTCCTCCTCTCAAAGAAGCAGCGATAGTGCCCTCTGCAGGCCAAGGCTGGGCTGTTTTTTAAACTTGGTTCTTTCCAAAGACCCCAGGTGACTGAAAAAGTGCCCCAAGGGGAACATTTTAAAGTGGGTGGGTCAGTCCCCTCCCGAGAAACCACATTCCGGGTCTGGCCCTACAGAGCCAGTGACCTTTGCCTTGGGTCAAAAACAACTGTGTTAAGAAACCATCCAGCAAACCTTTGCTTTGAACTTTGTTCTGCATCACGAGGACTGATGAGGGACTTTTTGCCAGAGGATAGAATCACCAGCTGGTGATGTCAGAACAGCTCAAGTCTGACAACGATAGTTATTTTCTTTTTTTTTTTTAACTATACTTCCGGGGTCATTTTTTCCTCCTGCATCTGTGCTAGTCACTGCCCCCCACCCCACCAACGCCCTAAGCTCTTCCTGCACATCTGCTCCTCCCTTTCCCCCAACCCCTCTGGATACTGATGGAGGAGAGAATAGACAATCTAGAGGAGGCATCAGGTGACTAAAACCTGACTCACACAGGAGGTGGGTGTGGAGGGGATTAAGGTGACCATTAACCCAGCCAGAGAAACCAAGATCCTTAGGGCCAGTGCCTTATCACAGGCATAAGGCCCGAGCAGGCATCAGGCGCTGTCGGGAGTGTCCGGAGCACAGACCTGAGGGTAAAAATATAGAGACTGGGGCCTCCCTGGTGGCGCAGCAGTTGAGCACTGGGCTGCGAAGCTGCCCACAGCCTCTGCAGCGCCAGTTCGATCCCCGGCCACTGGCGAGGGTCCAACATGGTGCAGCAGACCTCTCCTGCCGCCCGCTGCTCCCCTCAGCAGTGTATTTCGTCAGTCTGCCTGTTCTGCTCCCCGCTCTGGCTCTGGTGAATCCTCTCACCCTCCCGCACTTCTGACTGTACCCAGTGCCTGTATAAATAAATAAATCTTTAAAAAAAAAAAAAAAAGATGTAGAGACTGGGCCCATCCTGGAATTTCTGGTCTCTTCCAGATTCTTATGGTTATCCAAAATCAGCAGCAAAACAGGCCACTCCACAGAGCAGTGACCCCCCGAAGAGAAAAGACTCGACCAGTGCAGTCTGTGCCCTGGATCAGGGCAGCACTTGCTGCCCACCCGTGACTATGCAGGTGCTTCCTGTCACCAACTCTCTCCTCTGCAGGGCAGCAGTCTTCTGCCTGCCCATGCCCTGTACCAGGCCGGGGCTTCTCCGCACTGACCTCCCTCAGCGGAGGCCGCTCTCCTCAAGCCACCCACCGCCTGCAACCGTGCAGGCCTCTCAGCAAACCTGTCCCTTTTGGGGCAGCTCTTCCTGCCCGCTTGTGTCATGCAAGTGTCCTTCATAATCCTGTCCCTTCCCTAATAAACCTGCCCTTTAAACATAACTAACGTCTCTGCCTCATGGAGAAACTCGCCTGGGAAACTTGCCCCATGCGCTGAGAGGGGAGCTCTGGGGATACCTTTCCCAGAGTGAGCCCGAGGACCCCGCCCTCCAAACTCCAAAAACCTCATCAGAAAGCAGTCACTGTTTCACTAAGTCCAAGGTTACTTCTTGCTGTATCTTGCCAGTCTGTGCTTTTTGGTTCTTCATATTCCAGAGACAGGTGTTGTAACAGGGTGGTCCCCAGGAAAGGGGGAGGTTCCCTGCCCCACCCAAGGGAGGGTGGAGCTGAGCAGGAAGAGGAGAAGCTGCAGAGGAGACTGAGGAAGGAAGGAAGCAGGATGGAGCCAGAAGGAGACCTGGAGGAGGCGCATGGAGCCTAGAGACACGTGAAGAAACTGCGCTTGTCTTTTGGTCGTGGACGGGGTGACACAGATGTGGGTGAGACCCGTGGGGAGGTGACCATGGCAGCTTTTATCTGGATGTTGATTTTGCTCT